CATGCCACCACCCCTGCAGCCTGCTCGGCTGCTGTAGCTCCGAGACCTGTTGTTTTTCAGGTCACTGCACTCTCAAACAGACAGCAGCTTCCTTGCTATTTTCCCTGACGTGCGTCACGTTGCATTGGTTTTGTTTGCAGCCGGCCCCTCCGATCCTGTCGCTGACAATAAGGAATCCTCTCTCGCTGCTCTTCCCAAGCCGTAGCCTGACACGTTCGTTCCTATGGGTCCTGTCTCCCTGTGCATGTTTGGGGCAGTGGGGGAGGGTTAACTCTAGCTGGCACAACTATCTCCTTGCAGGAATGGAGGCTGGGCTGGCGTTTAGGCTGGGATTTGAACGTTTTGGTGCTGTTCACAGCCATCTGTGGAGGATGTTGCCCCAGCCACCTCTGGGTTTGTGCTGGCCTGCGTGACATCAGGCTGTCTGACGGGCTCCTGTGGGTACTGAGGCAGGTAGAAAAGGGGAGAAAGCACTGTGCATCGTTCTTCCCACCTCCACGCTTGGCCATCCCAACAAAACCTGATGGAGGAACCCAGAAGGACCCTGAGCTCAAAGTCCTGGATATGCTGGCCAACATTCCAGCCCCCTGCCAGTGTGACACCAGTACAAAGCGTCCTTGGAGAGGAGAGGAGTGGGGACCATGGAGCTGTTTGTTGGCGCTCACCCAACTGTCTTGCATGTGGCTGGTCCTGTGTGAGGGAAATTGGGACCCTGGATGCCAGGGTTTATTCCAGGCCTTAGAGGACAGCTTGGTGGTTAGACTGGGGGAGGGCAAATTGAAGCTGAGATGCTTGGTTACAGCAGCAGCTGTGGAGACAGTGGTCTTGGAGAGAAGGAAGAGGAAAGAGAGGCCAATGGTCCTGGAATTCCCTCACCCTGCCTGGGTTGGTCTCTGTATTTCCTGAGGTCCCTCTTGGGTGTCACATACTGTTCGTAAGGGAATAACTGCCCAGGCAGTTTAGCTTATTGCCGCTGGTGTTGGGTCATTCAACAGGAAGATCTAACGAACAGAAGGAAACTGTTTTGTTTTCCTTTGGGAGGGTAGGACAGGGAGAGCCACGGAAACCTTTGCAGGTGTGGGGAGCATGGTAGGACCCCGCGTACTCACCCCTGGAAGCATTTTGGCCAACAACAGGTTATTTCCATGCCAGGCGTGTTCTCCACACTGGGCTGTTCTGTGCGTAAGTGTCCCTGTGCTCCTGCTTTGGACTGTGAGCCTCACAGAAGGTTGATGTTTCTGTTTGCCCCTAGGGGACAGGAAGCTCTTTGTGGGCATGTTAAATAAGCAGCAGTCTGAGGATGACGTGCTCCGGCTCTTTGAACCGTTTGGGGTCATTGATGAATGTACGGTGCTCCGCGGACCTGATGGTAACAGCAAAGGTGTGAACCCCTCCTCGTGTCGTGCCCCTTCTCCCTGCTCTTCAGATCGTGCCCACCTGCCTCACCACCCCTGCCCCCTTTCCACTGGGGCACTTATTCCCCCCCCAGCCCTTATGGGAGCCCGTATCCCAGCTGGGCACAGGGAGCCGTTGTCTGCTGCGAGGACAGAGCGGGGCAGACGAGGGCAGAGGAGGGGAGCAGAGGATGACGAGCAGCTGAGTTACCAGGATCACTCGTGAGCCTCTTGGCTCAGTCCGGGTCCGCAGTTTGGAACGTCTGTACCCATGGCAAGGAGTGCATAGAGAATTTGGGGAAGATGTAGTCAGGGGGCAAGGGTGGAGATGGTGACATCGACTACAGGGTGTATCACTGAAGTAACCATTTGAGACCCTTCCTGTCTTTTCCAGGATAGAGGGCTTGACATGAGTCATCCTTTTGTTCCCTGCTTTCTTGGGGTGGCTTTCCTTTGCCCTACCTGAGACGCAGCTACTGTCTCTTGTGTGATGATGCGAGGGGCCTTCTCACAGCACTCCTGTCACTGCATCTCCTGTGCTCTTTCTGTCCCTTTCCAGGCTGTGCTTTTGTAAAGTTCTCATCTCACACAGAGGCTCAGGCAGCAATCCACGCCCTCCATGGCAGCCAGACAATGCCCGTGAGTATAAGGCCAGGGTACCTACCCTCTCCCTAATCCTCTTCCCACCACCCTGTTGCAGGGACCTTCCCTCACTGTCCACAGTCATGACAGGTTCAACTGCAGTTTCCAGCTTGTGGGGGCTGGAGGGGGGGGCTGTGCACGTCTTGTCTTTGGGAACCATCCTGTCTCCTGGGCTGGTGTGTGTATCTGTGTCCGTCCCAGCCTGGGAGTGACAGCACTTACAGCTATAAGGGCTAAATAAAAGAGAACCAAGGGCCAGGCCATGAATTTGTCTTGGAGACAGCTACCTGGAGTAGTTCAGGAGCGAGCAGGGTGTGAGCTGACCCTTCAGCAACATGAGCTGTTAGGACTCCACTGCCTGAGCGCACCCCTGCCTTCTCCTGTTTAAGTAACAGAGGTTTGTGGGGCAGGCGAGGCGTGGGTGAGGACACTGCACGGTGTGGGGCTGTGCAGCTGCTGCGCTGCCTTCCTGGGCAAGCGGAGCTGCGGCTGGAATCTCATCTCACAATCTCCAGCCTGGATTGGGGCAGGGCAGTGCATTGCTGCAGCAGGAGTGTTTCCAGGAACGGCTCTGCCTATCCAGCCCAGCTCACCGTAGTGGAAAGATGACGCCTGTGGCTGACAGAGTCCTGGGTGTTCCTGGTTGTGCCATCACCAGCCAGGGATGTGTGCACCCGCTTGTGCAAGGCCCCAGGGTGCGAGGGTGAGGGCGGGAGAGGGAAGGGTTGGATGGACGGATGGATGGGGAAGGGCACAGCCCAAGTTCCAGGCAGCTCCCAAGCACTTTCACACCAGTATTTGCTCTTCCGCTCCTCTTCCCACTCCTCTCTGCTGCCTGTTCTGCCCCATCCCGCCTTGCCTGACTGCTGACTCTGTGGCTGTCCCACGGCCTCTTCTCCCCCTGCCTCCTCTCTCTGTCTCCTCTCTCTGTGCCTAGGGAGCCTCCTCCAGTCTAGTGGTGAAGTTTGCTGACACAGATAAGGAGAGGACCCTCCGTCGTATGCAGCAAATGGTGGGGCAGCTGGGGATACTCACTCCATCTCTCACCTTGCCGTTCAGCCCATACAGCGCCTATGCGCAGGCTGTGAGTATCGCGCGTGTGTGTGTGGGGAAAGGCTGCCCTCCTGGCTCCGGGGCAACACCGTGGGGCTGGGAGCCCACCAGCGGGTCTCTAACAACTGCGTGAAAGCTTCCCGGCACCTGGGAGCTGTTCCTGGCTCCAGTTTCTCCAGTCAGCAGCCTAGTCGTTGGCTTTTCTCTCCTGGAAGGGGTGACAGGAGGGAGCTGGGACCTTCCCGAAGTCAGGCTGGATTTCTCTGGTGGGGTGTAGACTGGCAGAGGTGTCTGGGAACGGGTCAAGCATGACCCAGTGTCTTTCTGTCTTGTTTTGAAGACAGCTCAGAGCCATGATTCCTGGTGGTGTCTGCCAGACATGGCAGTCTGCCAGCTTGTGAGCTCTTCCCCTGGGTCTGTGACTCAGATGCGTCTCTGGTTTTGGAGCACCATGAGAGCCCTGGGCCCAGCTTCGCGTGTGTATTCCTCTGCTGAAATTCTCCAGAGGGCCCTAATCCCCCGCAGGGCTCTCTTGGCTGCTGTGGCTGCAGGGAGTGCGGGGTGCTGGAGAGGCAGCAGTGGGGAGCAGAGGGTCTGAGGTGTTTCAGGAGTCTGGCCTCCTCTGGCAAGACTGGCCGTGCTTTGGAGCTTGGCGAGAGGCCCTCATTGTCTTGGAGCGATGGTGGTGATTGCCACTGATGTTTGAGGTGGGTCCCAAACTCAGCAAGTCCCTGATGAGCTGTGGTGGAGCATCTTTTGGATATTCTTGGTGACTGTCACTCTTGGGTCTCTGCTATCAAGTATAAAGCCCATGGAAGGAGGCTCAGAAATTGCTGGAGGCATGAGAGATGCTGTGTCAAAGAACTCAAAAGTAGATGCTGTTACTGAAAGTCGTTTGCTGGGGCCGCAAATAAGCCTGGTCTTCTCTGTCACCTCTGGCTTCAGTGGCTGTTGGTGTGTTTCCCTTCTGTCTACACGACAGAGAAGGAACTGTTTCTCGATTGTTGGCTGTATCCTCTCAAAGAATCCCCAGAAACTGCTAAATGCCATTTAAGTGTCTGGCAGAAGCATGGAGTAGGAAAAGAAAAGAGACAATATCCATGAGGCTCCATCCTGTTGGGGAAATTTGGGAACCAAATGTACAATTTGTCCAGCCCAGATTATTTGATTCTCCTTGTGTAATGAGGCTGAGCACGGCTCTGCCATTCCAAGCACCAAGGCTCCCAGCGGAAGAATGGTTTGGAGGGGAGAACCCTTTCTCATCAGACACCGTCTCTGCCAGGACCAGTCTTTTCTGTTCAGCCCTGTAATCCACCCGCCAGCTCGGTCTGAGGTCTCAGGGTTTCGCGTGGGTCAGCTGTGTGACAGTGATTCCGGTGTTACCTTCTGTTACGGTGCTGCCTTGGGCACAGCGTGAGGGTAACGGAGGCAGGAGTGGAGCACGCAGGCGGGTCGTGATGGCAGGAAGGACCTGGCTAGCTTATGGCCAGGATGTGTAAGGAGGGAGAGCAGCGAGACCTTGCAGACTCGGTCTTTAAGTGCCCTCCAGTCCTCAGGAACTCCCGCTGATGACAAGACAGGCCCAGGCTGCGCTCCCTGCTTATCTGCATCTTCTTTCTCCTCAGCTGTGTCTGTACTTTGTTGCTTGGTCTCTGATTCTTCACTGCCCGTCCTGCTCTGTGACTTGATTCTGCCTTTCCCTTTGACTCAAGACTCGGCCTGTCCCTTACTTTTTAAGGTTTTTTTCTTTTTCTTTGGTTCTCTCTTCTTTCTGAGGCACTTCCCTCATACCTGACCGTTTCTTCTCTTGTGTCATCCCAATCTTTGGCCTCCCTCCTCCGGGAGGAGAGCTCCTAGCCAGTTGTCATACGCATACAGTGTCCCCATCAGAGGGAGAGAGTATCAACCCTTTGAAATACCATCTGATACCTCTAGAAGTGGGGACAGAGGGATTTCCTTCCTCAGTCTCCTCAGAGCACCCCTGCCATGGGCAGCTCCTGGGCGCTGGGACCTCTGGAAGCCAGGGCTCAAGGGAGCTCCACCATGGGTTATGCTTCCCTGATGCAGGGCTTGGGCTCGTAGATGCACCCGAGGTTACTCGCAGGCGCAGGAGGTGCAGGCAACAATCAGGCTGAGAGGAGCAAGTGCTGCTGGGGTGAGCTGGTGCATCGCAGGCATTGGTTCGGACATTCACGATTTAATATGCCAACAGTTTTCTCTCCCTGTCCCCGTGGGATCTGCTGCCTCACCGAGCCAGAGCAGTCCCTGGAGTCCCTGGCCTGGGAAGAAGTTTGGAGCCCGGGTTGTTTGGGTTCTTGTTTGGTTTTGGTTTGGTTTTTTTTAGTTGGATGTTTTAAATTATATTAATTGCATTTTCCTTTAAAAACTAACTCAATTAAACATGAAATAATCAAAAACTATGTTAGGTCTAAAGTTATTCTGATCTATTCAAGTATACAGAATATTAAACAGTCCAACATTACACGTTAGGTGATAGAGTTTGTAAGAAAAATTCTCATCCTTATCTGGGAAAAAGGACTGGCTTAGCACTTGGAAGCAGTTTATTTCAGTGCTTAAACCAGGTTTTGATCCCAGGTGCCTCTTGCTGCAAGTGAAAAGTGAGTATTTCCTTCATTTCACTTTATTCAGCACATTAAAGTTTGCTGAATAAAAGTGATGAGTTCAGATGGAATCAGGGAAATGATTGTGTGCTGAAAAAATAATAATCTATCAATACAAAAGAGGTTTGAAGTCTTAAAATGCAGCCAGTGTAACTTATTAACTGCTTATAATGCTTGAATATTTCTTGTATTTCATTAATCAGTTCTAAACACAAAACATAATTTGTTCACACACCTCCACCCCCTTTTCTTTCTATTCTTATGGTTCATTATGGTAATTCGATTTAAGCGATGAAAGCAATTTCAGAACGCTACTTTGGGGCACGTGCAGTCAGACACAGGTCATGTTCCAGCCAGAGCCTGGCACAGAACAGGCATTAATGAGAGAAAAGAAGATCAATATTCAGCTAGTAAATAAGAAATTGGTTCCTGCATCCTTAAATGGGGACCGTGTGAAGACAGGACTAGGAACGTGTGCAGGCTGCTTGCCACAGGGCCACCTTCCCTGTAATCCGGGCTCAGGGCGAGCGGCTCCCGGTAACGAGTCCTGCTTTGGGCGAATCACTCCGCAGGCAGCGTGGCGACGAAGAGCTGAGGATTTCAGGGCGTTTGCTTTCTGAAGCGAAGCATCAGCCCTACCTGCAGAGACCCTCACACGCTCCGTGGTGTCCCTCCTCTGCCCCAAAAAGAGCTCTCCCTCTATCCCAGCGCTGCCCTGGTGCCGCTTCCACCCCAGCTGCTTTGCTCTTGTGCCAGCCGACGGACAGCAACGCCATGGAATTAGGCAATCCCTCTTCTTTTTATGCGACAGCAAATCGGCGTCTGTGCGGAGAAACTAGGAGAAGGTTTAGCTGGCGGTGAACTTCTCCGTGACCCGATTCTCTGGCGGAGACCCGGGCCAGCCTGGTGTGCTGACAGCCGTGGGCGGATGGGGCACGTCCTGGAGCGGTGTGTGTTTCTGTCGTAGGCAGCGGGACATGGTTGCGGTCTGTCTAAGGCGAATTTTTGTCTTTCTTGGGTTTTGCCATGTGCCACCCTCCCAGCTCCTGTGGAATTGTGGTGTTTCCCAAGAGCCGTGCCTCTTCCTCTCCGTGCTTGATGGTGAAGACGAGGCTTGTGAAGGGCCTAGATAATTCTGCATCCAGAACCGACTCTTTGTTGCCACGGCACTGAGCGCAGGCTGATTGAATCTCATGCTCCAGAGCACCAACGGATGGCCAAATAGGACCAGAAGGATGTTTTTTCCTCTTCCTCCTAACCCTCCTCCCAACCTTGTGTGCCCCTGTCACCCACATCTTCCCACGGCGCATCTCCGTGCGGTCGGA